CCATTTTTTCCCCCATTTTTTCCCATTTCCCCCCATTTTTCCCCCTTTTTTCCCCATTTTTCCCATTTCCCCACCTTTTTCTCCCATTTTTTCCCCATTTTCCCCTATTTCCCCCCATTTCCCCCAATTTTCCCCATTTTCCCCCCATTTTTTTCCCATTTTTCCCATTTTTTCCCCTTTTTTCCCCCTTTTTTTCCCATTATTCCCCATTTCCCACCTATTTTTTCCCATTTTTCCCCATTTTTTCCCACATTTTTCCCATTTCCCCCCATTTTTTCCCCATTTCCCCCATTTTCCCATCCCATTTTTCCCATTTTTCCCATTTTTCCCCCTTTTCCCGTCCCTTTCCCGCGTTTCCCGGGATTTCCCTCACTCCGGATCCGCGATTCCATCATGCTCCGCGTCTCCGGCTTTCCCGGGAGAACGAGCTCGGAATTCCTGGGAAAACAGAAAGGGAATTCCGGGAAAAACCGGGAATGGGGCAGAGCTGGGGGAATTCCGGGAATTCAATGGGAATTCAATGGGAATTTAATGGGAATTCAATGGGAATTCAATGGGAATTTAAAGGGAAAATAATGGGAATTTAATGGGAATTCCGGGAAAAACCGGGAATGGGGCTGAGCCCGGGGGGAATTCTGGGAATTTAATGGGAATTTAATGGGAATGCTGGGAATTTAATGGGAATTTAATGGGAATTCAATGGGAATTTAATGGGAATTTAATGGGAATTTAATGGGAATTCCAGGAATTTAATGGGAATTCAATGGGAATTTAATGGGAATTCCAGGAATTTAATGGGAATTCAATGGGAATTTAATGGGAATTCCGGGAAAAAAACGGGAATGGGGCTGAGCCCGGGGGAATTCCAGGGGAATTCTGGAAATGCAATGGGAATTTAATGGGAATTTAATGGGAATTTAATGGCAATTTAATGGGAATTCAATGGGAATTTAATGGGAATTTAATGGGAATTCAATGGGAATTCAATGGGAATTTAATGGGAATTTAATGGGAATCCAATGGGAATTCAATGGGAATTTAATGGGAATTTAATGGGAATTCAATGGGAATTCAATGGCAATTTAATGGGAATTCCGGGAATTTAATGGGAATTTAATGGGAATTCTGGGAATTTAATGGGAATTCAATGGGAATTTAATGGGAATTCAATGGGAATTTATTGGGAATTTAATGGGAATTCAATGGGAATTTAATGGGAATTTATTGGGAATTTAATGGGAATTCAATGGGAATTTAATGGGAATTTAATGGGAATTCCGGGAATTTAATGGGAATTTAATGGGAATCTAAAGGGAATTCCGGGAATTCAATGGGAATTCAATGGGAATTTAATGGGAATTCAATGGGAATTTAATGGGAATTTAATGGGAATTTAATGGGAATTCAATGGGAATTCCGGGAAAAAACCGGGAATGGGGCTGAGCCCAGGGGGATTCCGGGAATTCAATGGGAATTTAATGGGAATTCAATGGGAATTTAATGGGAATTCTGGGAATTTAATGGGAATTTAATGGGAATTCAATGGGAATTTAATGAGAATTCCGGGAATTTAATGGGAATTTAATGGGAATTCAATGGGAATTTATTGGGAATTTAATGGGAATTCAATGGGAATTTAATGGGAATTCAATGGGAATTCAATGGGAATTTAATGGGAATTCAATGGGAATTTAATGGGAATTGTGGGAATTTAATGGGAATTCTGGGAATTTAATGGGAATTCAATGGGAATTCAATGGGAATTTAATGGGAATTCAATGGGAATTCTGGGAATTTAATGGGAATTTAATGGGAATTCAATGGGAATTCAATGGGAATTTAATGGGAATATTTTGGAATTCCATGGGAATTCTGGGAATTTAATGAGCATTGTGGGAATTTAGGGA